ACGCAGTCATACGGCCACAAACGAATAATCGTATCGAATACCCGCGTAATTCTTCTGGCGGCATGGATTTGGCGGGAACGAGGTCTATTAGCATAGTTATGCTTCATTGCAACTAAACGGGGTACGGCATTAGAGTATGAGAACTGAGAGTAGTGAAACAAATTGCATTGTAGTCGTAATTGTCGTTTTACACAACGTGATATAAACTAGGAATAGAATACAATAATTTTGAAGTAGTGTAGAAAAATAATTTAGGTTCATTACGTTGTCCAGATTAAGCACCCGTGATTTAGTTTTACAAAGTCCTGTTGGATTTGTGTAAGGAAGGTAATATGAAGTCAAGAAAATAGCTTGTCTTAACGTTGTCAGTAGTACTAATAAATACAGTAAAATAAAGTACTGATAGCCTTAAACATGGTAAATTAAAAGTTTAGGATAGCAGGTGGAAGGTATCTCAATGTCAATATGCCTGTGTCATATTCGTTTCCAATTCTAATCTATTCTCTTTGCTAATATTTAATTATAGTAAACTAATTTTTAGGACATGTCTCATTATTAGATCGTCTTGTTTTAGTGTAGTTAAATCATTTTAAACACTTGTTTACACAAAACGTTTCAAGTGAAATGTATAGTCTGATTTAATGTTTAAACGAGGATAAGCCCTAGTTTTAAACTAGTACCTGTATTTGTATACGACTAGCGTTCAAGAATCAGCTGATTAGACTGAACATCATTATTTTTAACCGACTTCCCCACTACCAACAAAAGGAGGAGGTTCTCAATTTGTTTGTGGCGATGTTTTTTTTTTCTATGTATGTTCACCAATTTCTCTGTGATTCTTTTACCGATCAGTGTGGTTCCACCACCAAAATAACCAGGAGAGTTCCTATTTGGTACCTTATATATTATGTTTAAGTATAATATTTGTTTCGGTGAAAAATTCTGAAAACCTTAAATACTCAACATTTATTTTGTTTACATTTGTGCAGATTGTTTACATTTGTGCAGAGAAGGCAATAAATAATAATAACATTCCCACAGCTGTTAGTTGAAACCATTTAAATGAAGCTACAGACAATTCTTCATGAAACAGTTGCTTCATATTGATCAATAAACTATTTCTTGCCATGGAGCCTAAATGAATTACATTGAGAAAAATGCATTTTGTTTTGGTTACTATACAAAATGTATTTTAACGTTTGACCTGATTTGTGTATACAGTAATTCTGTTTTTAGTATTGAATATTCTGACTTACAAAAACATATATGTTTCAGTGAATAGCTGTATGATATTGACAAATAAAGGTGCATTGTGAAAACCAAAGCATTCGTAAAACAGGTCTAAATATAAATTAAATGTAATTATTCCTTACACGACCTAAGACGTGTGACAGTGCATAATCGTCAATTGTCTTAAAAGTGTTAAATATTTTAATTACTAAACATGCATTTGCAGATGTGGAATGTTTATTGATATTCTCTACCCAGTTACTATATCATATCAATACTATTATGCCTGCTTCGGAAAGTCCTAGAGAAAGATGATTTGCAATTTCGACTAGCCTATATCTTGAGCAAACAAAACCCCCTACATGACTTACACCACTTTTAGCTGAACCAATCTTTCATATAATATTTTCCAAAGGTACTATACGTGTTAACGACCAATTTTCCACTTTTGCGAGATTTTTTAGTGCTGGTAGCTGAGGAATAACTTTCATATTGTTCCAAAAGGCTTGAGACGTTCAGTCACTAAAAATCATGAAATAATTTATTTTTGTAAAAAAATACAACCGACTTCAAACGCTCTATAAAGAATGAAATAATTTCAATAAAGTAAACTTTTGTATTAGGCAAGCTCACGTATTTCAAGTCGGCGCGGCTCAAACTGCAAATATGATTGAAATTAAATACTGTGTGTGTATTTTGAAAATCAATAAATTGTAGCTGGATAACTTAAATATATAAAAAACATACTGAACTGTTTTGTTTATATATTAAAGGAAATATTTTCTTGTATTTTATGTTTACTTCAGAATAAATGCATTATGAAAATAACACACACAAATGTTCTATATAAATAGGAAAATAATTTAGTTTGATATTATGATAGGGAAAAGAAGCTAGTTTAGTATTAAAACGTTACTTTTCCAAGTTAGAAACATTTAAATGTGTTATAATCTTTTTAAAGATACTCGTTAATACCACTATAATTCCGATCTCTGATTACGGCAATAAAATAACACTTAACGTATAACTATGAAAAAGACATGCAGATTAACACCTTGATAGTCACAATATGGACACCCTCTTTCAATTTTGTATCAAAAATCATCATAGAGCCGCGCTGACTTAAAATACGTGAGCTTGCCTAATACAAAAGTTTACTTTATTAAAATTATTTCATTCTTTATAGAGCGTTTGAAGTCGGTTGTATTTTTTTACAAAAATAAATTATATGATTCAGTAGTGGGTCTGACATTAGTTTTAAATTATAAGGAGTAATAGTAGTTTTCAAGAACTTTGTGACTATAAATGGGAAACTAAAACCAAACAGGTCTGAAATAGGAAATATACAAATGAAACGCATTGTTCTCTTCAAATAATAAATCTCCGTCAAAAGCAACCAAAACAAACAATGGTTGACAAAATATCGAGTAATTCCGTGTAAAACAACAGCTGGCGGTAATATCGTTTGGAATGAAAACACATTAATATCATGCGTCCGGGTAGTTCGGGCACTATGCATTTAAATTGGACAAACCATTCATAAAACCCGTCAACGACTCGTGTATTTCACCGGCAACAATAGGACGGTAATAATATAAATACGGAAAAACGAGAGCGGGCGAATAGCGGAAATATATCCGACCGGAAGTGGTCGCAGCCGGGAATGGCGAATGGCGCTTCGCTAGGAATATATCGGATAATCCGACGGAAACACCTGTCACGAGAAATGCTACCAATCTGACAATCTGTCGAAACTAATCTGTTAGATTGTTGCGACTTTGAGATTAATATTGTTATTATTTAAATTATAGTAAGTTGGGTTCAATGGTCTGAATCTATTTTCAACTGTACAGTTGGAAAGGTCTCTGATTCAATTATTAGGAAATTCAGTTTTTTATGGTTTAAATTCGAACTGAGCTTCCCTTGGTCATTGTCATTGCAATACATGATTCTGGCTGATGAAACAGTTGATCTTAGCTAGTAATAACAAAGTAATAAAGGTCATTCATTCCATTTTACTCTCATTGAGTATTCATATTCAGCTTAAAATGTGAGCGAAGCGACTAAATGAATTTTTATGATACTTTTCTGGGATGATTGTATTTGTTTATATTTGGAACTTTTCATGTAATTAAACGTTGCAATTTAAAATTATAAATCCATAAACAGGACTTAAATAAAAATAAGCGGGACTACTCAAGAATGTCGAAAATAAACAGCTGATGTTCATGACTCCAGCTGATTATTTTTCACCCTAGAAATAAAGAGAACTACTTTAGCTCTTTAACACAGCCATTTACACACACACAGTATTTTTAAAACAGCCATTTTAGCTCCAGTATAACAAAAATCAATTCATCACAATCGAAATCAAATTTAGTTACTTAAAAATTCAAATATACTAATTACAATACAAATACGATACTTTGACGGTTCACATGACGAAATCATAAGGTTCAATTATAATACAATACAGCCACGTGGCCCGGTCAGCTGATCAGGCTATTTAACGGATGAATAAGATAATCAGCTGATCGTTATCAATCAGTCATCCAGTAAACCAATTCACTGCTGAATAATTGACAATCCGTTTAATTGGCAGTTACGGATTCAAGATGATCCGAATGGTGATTATCTAATTGTGGACATCGTACGATATGATATCTAAGGTGGATTAAAATAACTGTGTTACTTTGTGGATAATTTTGACGTTAGTTACGTCCGATTTATGTAGAAGACATTTTAATGTTATAAAACGTTGACATTTCAACAAACTAAAACAACCCAATTACAAAAGCTGGTCCTATGGTACTACAAAATAGTATAGCAAAATTGTGAATTCTAGTCAAAAATGAATCAGAATCATTTAGTCGACAATAGCCAACTCTAGTAATATTACGAACAAGAAACATACATGAACACAAATTTCATATATTACAGTAGGCCTACAATAGTAGGTCTACTGGTATTATTCCATATTCAATGAATAAACTTGATATATTCAGTAATCTCGAAAAATCCATTTATATTTTTATATTACTTAAATGTTTTGTCTATTTTTGTTTTGTAAGCAGTTTTTTTTACGTTTCAAATAAGCCCTTTAAGTTCCAATTTGAGCATTGGTGCTACTTTTTGAAAATCAAATCAGCTTATTCAAATAATAGAACTTGCAAATTGATTATTAAAGTAAAAAAACTGTACTTAATTACTATTGTATCGTTGGCTGTACTTGCAGTATCCAAGTAGAATCTAATACTACAATTGCCGTCTACTCAGGCTTCTCATACTATTGTAAAATAAGGCTACATTTGAGTGCGCTGTTGTCATATAAGAAGGATTACTAAAGTGGGATTCTGATGAGGTTTCCTGGTAGTTAATAGACAAAAATATCATTATTTGTTTAAACTATTTATAATGATAGTAAAGATAAAATGTGTTATAAACATTTAGGAACATCTAGTTAACTACTTCATTGTCAGGTAATCTATAAAGGTGATAAATTTAGAAGAGTATGTTTAATTCTTAATCATGATTAAGCGAAATAATATTTAAATATATTATGTTTGGGTTCGAATCCATAATGAACAATAGTGTCATTGTTTAGCTGTGGATATTTTTATATTCCACACAAAATGAGTGATTACTCTTCACAACTGCAGAGGCACTAGAGCCGAAATCGCTCAACTCAGTTTTAGCTGTGAATTAAAAAAAATATATTATATGGAAAACAAAATGAATGCAACGTTCTGTAAGACTTTTTTTATTAAATTTAGAGAATCTGCAATTGTTTTTTTTTAATAAATCTATCTACACATACACAGTACAAAATAATTTTAAGATACCAAATAGTTTAAATTAAACAAAGAATGGCAGAATAAAACTACTTTAATTATAAAATACAAAATCTGATTTTGTTTTTCCTTCACAGTTTCTGTCCACTAATTGTGCATGAATTGAGGATTATGCTGTAAACATACACTATTACAGTTAAATTTAAGCTTGAGCAAACTCGTATTTGTGGGTAAGAACATTTTGTAAGTGATGTTTCTTAAGATAGAAAACACTGTACATTTCGGCTTCACACTATACATACAATTGAAAGAACTGCTTAACATTACATAGCTTAGATCACAATTTAATAACACGTACATTAAAGTAATAAATAGTAAATTCATAAATATAACATTAAATATAAAACCTTATTATTCACTGATTTTTTTTTTATTTTATAGACAACTGTTTGAAATATAAGATTAAGGATAAAAAATACTCATTTCTGCACTCACAAGACAATTATTAATAAAAAATAAAACTAATAAATAATGAGTTTTGTTTGTGTTATTTTTTGCCATTGAAAGCAGTTTGAAACACACTAGTGCTAAAACACAATACAAAAGCTGTTTATAACATTTCTGAAGGCACTTGCAGTTAAATAGAAAAGAGGCCAGAGTATCACTGTTAAACAAAAATACCAGGCGAAACAGTTTTTCCACGTTAGTGCTGTAAAAACTCGTGTGTCCATCCCAAAAGAATCTGGCTCAAATCAACAAAGTAAAGAGTGACTAACGAAAATATTCTATAATGAGGTCCACCTATTTCCTGGTTAGCCAAAGGCAAATCGTTGGCAATAAAGTATGTTGAAGGCGTTGCCTGACTTGTAGAAGGTCTTCTGACCGACGTCTAGAAGGTCTTCTACATTGCAATGATAAAATGCGATCTTTGATCATCGTTGATCCATTGACTATAGAAGTTGCTGTTAGTCAGTACAGATCAGCCATGGTAACATTTCTTCTGACAGCGTTGTTGAAGCCTTCCTTGAAATGGTACCAAATATCACTCTTCACAATCTCGTCTGTTCTAGCTGCAATGAAAAACATTCACAATTTAACATTTTAAAATGAAATGTACTCGATTCAAATGGAGTTTCGTAGATCTTACTATCTAAATTGAAGGAATACAAATTCGTCCCTGATGTCAATTATATTCTGATGATATTTTTTATTTGGGTTACAAAAGCGGGGATGCGGAATACTATCCCCCGGAAAACTACCCCCCAGGTGAAACGTGACGACACAAAATCTGCTAACTAACCAATATGGAAGCCGTGTCCGCGACTGGAATACTACCCCCCCTAGACAAATCATGCTATGTAATTTTAATTTTAATTCGAGTAATTCCGTTGGATAATAGAAAAGGCATGTGGTGAATATAAAACCGATTTTAGAAATGTTACAGCAAGTTTGGTTGGTTAGGTTAGGTTAGATTAGAACTGTTAAAACTGCCCCCCCCCCCCGGTTTCTGACGTCAATATGACGTAGGGACCTGCTTGGGGGGGTAGTTTTCCGGGGGACAGTCTTCCGGCGACCCACAAAAGCTAATTAAGTTCCTGGCATACAAATATTGATGCTTGTTGATTTGAAATCAAATTGATTTAAGTCGAGAATACATTTTTGGTAATTATTGGTTATCAATAAAATTTCGCCACAAAGAAATAAAATAACAGGATCTAATCATTTTGAAATAGTTTTATAGATTTATCATGAAATAATTAGAATCACCTTCACTCATTTGCGACAGCTTGCACCAAGAACATCAAGCCACGAAGACTACTCAGGTAGGACAAAACCTTTTCATCGCTTTACAGTGTTTCATCTCCATAACACAAGTTTCATCCAAGAAAATTACTTTCGCGACAAAAATAATAACGAAAGTTGAAAAACCGTCACAGAGGGTGGATAAAGAAAGAAACCCACTTTAGGCGGAGTAAAATTTTAAAGGATTACAAGATAGTTGATACGATTGCCCTTGAAACCTTAATTACGGCGAACAAAACCGGGGAAATGACGTGCTTAAAAACAAAGCGGTAAAGTGGGAGCGGGGAGAGCGGGGTGGTTTGTACAGGGGGGGGGGTAAAACAAACAGATGAGCGCCGGATCATACCCCTTCGACAAGCCTCTTTAAATACTTAGCGAACTAATCAAAACCGAGGGACGGATTAAACTTTGTAATACTTCTAGTGACTCGATTGTCCGGGGTTGCGGGAGCGCAATTATGTCCCCCCACCCCTGCGGCAGATCTCATTAGGAAAAACAAACACGCCGCCATTGTTGTGGCCGACCAATAGCGCGGGAGCGATCGCGCGGGAAATAGCGGCAATCGCGCCGCAATTGAACAATTTGCCGAGTTTGCTCCTCAAACATCGTCTACAAGTCAAACAAGACGGCAATTACCACAATTGATGGCTCGTCAACGTTCAGCGAGTTGATGATGATAACAGAGTCCCAGCGGAATCGGGTAAACGGCGCAAATATTGGCAACACAGTTAGTTTTGTAAAACGATCTAACGCACGTTTGCTCCAACAATCTTTACGCATTACACATGTAGATTCTCCTGGTTTTCAAACGATTATTCTTTTAAATATTTTTGACAAGAAATCTCTTTTTAGTTAAATAAAATATTTGGTTGCGCTGGCTAAGTAGTCTAAAGAGGTTGTTATTCTATGATTTTACTTGTTAACTGTCAGGCGTATATTGGATTTATAATTCTAAAAATCTGAACAGTCCGTCAACACCTGCACATGGACAAGAACGAAAAATAAAGGTAAAAGGTTCATACGTTTGTTATTAGATTACTTAAAAAAATATTTGTTAATTTTGTAATACATACATATTAAAAAAATAAATTACCAAAATGACAACTGACTGGCATAAGGGGTTTGTAGTAGAAAACACAAAATTCTGATGTAAAGTTATTTTTTTAAGTTTTGAAAATAATATATATTTTTTACATCTTTACATTGACTAACGTACCTTTCCGTTGGTTGGGCACAAGCGAGTTTTCCACCACACGTCCGAAGAAGTCCTTGGTTTGCTGAAAAACAAATAAAGGTTTGAAAACTTTCATGTTAACAGCGGCAAAAAATTTTCGGGAACCATACGACCCATCGATTATTCAATGCTCATTGTGGTCTTGGATTTAAATTGATCTTGCGATCAATTAAACTCATTATAATGAATCGACAATGTCTACACTGCTAACAAGACTCATTCTTTAAACACCACTGCCGATGATTGTACAGCTGAATTAAGATAATTGTAGGACATTACCAACACACATAGCTTTTGTTTGACACAGCTTAACTAGCAAATCAAGACAACGCAGGGAGAAATGTACAACTCATTCGATCAACTAGGGTCGAGAGTCAGTAATTGTGACTGGTGACAATCATTTCTGTGTGGACGAAACCATCAGATGCGGGACGTACGACATACGGGCTACTCAATCAGGATACGCGAGTCTCATTACTGCCAATTACAGGACTAAATTGGGTTACTAGAGACAATGACCCTGGCTGGCGACAACTACTGCGGTCCATGGGAGTGTGGGACTGGGAGGAGTGATTTGTAGAGTACTGGAGGATGGTACTGGAAACTTTTAGTTAGCTGCGGCGCTCGACCCACGGCAAGACTAACCGACATAGTTGAACCAACTGTTTTGTGACTGAAATAATTGTAGTTGAGAGTTCTAATTTTGTTATTACGATACTGTGTATTGTGTTTAAAATGAGTTACAGTAGTGATGAAGCAGCTCTGGTGTTGTATAGACAATTGAAATCGCAGAGGACGTAGAAGGTATTGGGCACATCCTTATATTGAAACAGATATTCAATGTAGACTCTTTGTAGCTGCTGCTCCATTACAAAAACATACAACACAGGGTGGTGTTCAACCTTCTGAACCAACTGCACATTCAACTTCTGATCGCTCTAAAACTAGAATGCTCTGCAAACGTCTAAAATCCACAAAAATGCTTGAAAAGTTGTTTAAACCAGGCGACTGAAATCACCTTCCAATCGCCGACTGGTCCTCGACTGGTCGCATCGCAGTTGCACCGTGTGCACGGTCCCACATTGGTCGGGAAACAGTCTTCTCGTGTGTTGACCGCCTAGAATTGTGCTTGGATATAGCGGAGTAGTTTGATTGGCGATAATCGGTGGAGATGACGTTTTGTTGCGCCTTCTCGAGAACGGTGTTGATGTAAAGAAACGTATAATTCGTTGGTTGTTGCCCATCTCTTTAAGCGATTAATTGGATCAGTCACTGAGGGGCCGAATCCTCTACCATACTTTCCATTTAGGTAGAACACCTATAGTTTGCATTTGGTTCGAACTGAAAAATAAGTGAAAGACCATGTGTCCCCGTTTCCTGGCCAAGAAATCGTTTCAGATATTGCTGTTATGGGAAAAGGAAGAAGTTTAAATAGATTTTGTTGATATACAAAACACGAAAATTTACTGATTCCACGTAAACTTCCAGAGAGGAAAGAGTTTTATAGGATTTATATCCAAAGAAGCTGACAAGACGACAAAGTTGAGTTAAAATATTACTAGAGAGCTAGTAGGTGTCCGTTGGTGACTTTTGACTATTGTATAATAGTCAATGCTTGAACATAGCAGGAACACAGAGGAAAAGGATATTTAATGCGATTCTTGTAAGAGTTGTAAACTGTCAAACCGGATATCAGGTACGTTGAAAAAATATCCAACATATAGAAGTGATAAATTTCAATTTTACCCAATTAAGTAAACGTATTTGAAAAGAAATCTGTATGCATCAATTCGTAAGAGAATTACGTATACCCCAATGTGCAGCGTAGCATCGGTGGTATGTCACGGTGGATATATGTCTAGTACACAGATAGTTCTCCAACTCAATATCTCTTTATGTTTTATATGTGTGTATGTAAAACCTTTTATTTCAACAAAATTGACTGAAAATGAAATGAAGTTACAAATCTCAACAACACGACTGAGATCACCAATACAATTCCTATTTTTACAACGCATTAAATCTCAACAAAACAAATTACACCACCAAATAACATCATACAAGGGTAGGGTACAAAAAGGCCAAGTGGGAGGGCGGGTTGACGATCAATTGATAAAGCCACTCGTTGGCGCCTCCCAAATAAATACCCGGCTTTTCCGCCGCCGCCGGCGCGATTCCATTTACGGCGAAGAACAGAAAGTTTGTTCTTTACGTCGTTAAGTTGTGTCTAAGCGAGGATAGCGTCCGGTGTAGGATTTGTGGCCCGGGCCCGCCCCATACAACATTGTATCTTGTGTCTGCGGCGGGTAAATGTACAAATACCACACGAGCTTAATGTTAATAATTGTTGTTCACCAGACAAATTACTGAGAGAGAAATGTAGACGTTTCGATTTATATGTATAACAAATTGTACAGAGCTTATTACACAAGGCCATAGGCTAAATTTTCATTTTAGAGGGAAAACTAAATTGGACGTTTTTACAATAGGAAACTTAATTTTTCAACGTGAGAATGTTTTTGTCACGTTTAAAATCGAAACTTAAAATATGTGTTCTTGGATCATGCAATTTTACTGCAGAAATTTTCAAATATTTTACTCCCTCCTATGAGCTTACTTGCGTTATGGAGTTAAACGAACCCATGACGTGGAAAAATTGAAATTTGTATATGCTATGTATGCAATAATGCTCAACAAAATATGCTTAAGTAGAGAAAAGGAACTGTGTCAACCAAGAACTCAAATTATATTATGTCGCGTTTTCATTTGAATTTGGTAAATTTATAGTCAACATTCAGTATGCGTCTCACTCAGGTATTTTTAGTTAGTGTGGACAGGACACTTAAAATGTCTGAAAGTAAGTCTCAAACGAAACACAAGTCATCAGGATGGTTTTAGAAAACATTTTGATTCATCGATAACTATTTATTAAACAGGTAACATCATGAAAGATATCCTAGTAAAACCATCATAGCAAAACTTTCGAAGACTTTTTTAAGCGGGTCTTTTGTAAATTGATACTTATTTAGCTTCCTTTTTTAACGATTCCTTTAAAAACACTTTATCTCAAATATTGCAAAACCACTATACATAAATGACGTAGACCAAACACAAGGAAGGTATTGGAAGGAGGGGATGGAACACTTGACTAGGTAATTGATGTTTGTATAATGTCCGATAGATAGGAGATTGGTTGCAGGCCTACAGTAGCAGTTTTGGTCTCAAGTCTCCGAGGAGTACGGGATTGCGACGAACATTGTTCTATATTGCATACAGATATTGCATATGGGCATATTGCATACGAGCTCAGCCTTTGACGAAGATTAGGACCCTTGTCAAACGGAGAATGTGGTTCGTCTGGTCAAATCACTTTGCCTTCCGCTCGGACGAGAGATATACCAGCACTACATCGCAGCAACCACCAGATCAAGCAAATTCCTGTTGACTCGTTGAAATTTAATAAAAAAAGATAAAAGTTAAAAAGAATTATAGTTTAAATCATTTCGCTGAAAAAAGTGTAATATTACATTCGTAGCAACCTGCAGATCGAATTCCAATAGCCCAATTCAAATTGCATCTGGCAAAATGTAAAAACGAGAAAGAATTACAATTTAAATTATCAAGAGCAGGTTTTAAGAGGATTACTGATTGCAGCACAGAGGACAACACCATTTTGGTTAAATAAATCACAAATCAAGGCCTTTTAACAAATATTATCAAAGTACAGGGTGTTTCTCTTTCCATGTAATACCTAAAGGTTTTCTAAAAACGCCACGCAAAGAGTGGCTAAACACGTTTCAATTAGTAGCAGTTTTATCAGCTGATTGGATTCGCATTTAAGCTCATATTAATTGGAAAGGAGTCCAATTAATATGAGCTCTAGGTATAACTTTTTTGTGTGGGGCTTCGTTAAAGATCTATGCCAGTAAAGTGAACACAATAGAAGAACTCAGAGAAAGAATCAGGAGAGCGTGTGCAGAAATAAATTGTCAAAAATAAATTGTAGAAATCGGAAAACACATTGATGTTGGGCAAACTGTTTATTATGTAACAAAACTTGAAATGACATCCAAGACTTTGATTGCAATTTTTTTTATAAACGTAGACACTAGACTATGTAGACCACAGACAATAGACCTTTTGTCTATAGGTAGACGTAAACACTACTATAATTTAATATTATGAACAAGACATTGAAACAACGTATAAAGGAAAATATAATCAAAAAATTAATCGAAGTAAGAAGGCTGTTTATGCATATTTCAAAAATAAGTTTGTGACAAAGATTTCATTATTATTTAATAGGTTTAAAGTAAATTTATGGCTTTATTTCATTTGTAACAAAACTTTATTTTATAGAAAACAAAACTCTTCTACTAACAGGAAAAGGCGTTCGAAACAAATAGTGGCATCGCGACAGTCAGTGGACGATGGTTATTATTTTCTTCGATTATTGATAGAAATATATTATAATCCATTCCTATTTTTAAGATCTAACTATTTTTAGAATAAAACTTAGTGTTGTTTAATTGAGCCACCGATACAGTACGCCTATGTAAGCTAATGATTTGTGTCGGTGTATTCATATTTTAAACCGAACCAAACTTATTGTAAACTACAGAATCTTTTTCACATAAACTCTCAAAGTAACAATAACTAACGGGGGGATCGAATTGTATACTGTATAGCACACTACTTATTAGAAACTCTCATTCAACTAAGTTCCTAAAAGAAATAGCTACAACTGGTCTATCTAGGCGGGATTTTTACTTCAGGATCTAAAAGGCAATGGCCTTCTTTGCAACGGTTACTATATTCACGCCCCACATAGCGGCACATAGCACTTGAATCCGAAGGACAATCCTTTTAATAGAAAGGGCAATGATTGAGTGGTTCATTTAACTTTGTATTTTTAGTACAGAATTACAGCTGGTTCATGCAGATGGTATGTCTACTTAAAAAAAATCAATGGCTTTCCTTTACAAAAAAGGTGTATTTTGCACACCACATCGAAAGCTGCGCATATATCACGACTTCCAACAA